GAGCGACAAAAACTCTGAAAGTTGGGGAGACCATTGGTCAACCAAGTGAACCAAATCACTGTAAAGCCGGGTTGACCCAACCCCAAAAGCAACACACACAAACTTCAAACAAGCAAATCAAAATAATTACTGTATGAACCTTACGAAGACCAGGCAACATGATGGCTACCGAGTGGATGAAAAAAATGCTTGGGTCCTTGATGCTCGATGACGGAAGCACAAACGATCGTTATGTCTGGTATTGATCTTAATACCATTATGACCCGCGCTGTAGTCTAGAAATTAGCCAACCAGAACTTTAAAGCAAAAAATAATAAGCATGCAATTTGTCCTTTCTGACCGACAAAGATGAAAAAAAGCAAATTTAGCCTCTTCATCTGTCCTCGGTGTTGTTTAAGGCAACTTTACAGACGCCCGTATACAGATGTCAATCAACATTGTTGCTCAACTCAAAAAGGGAACTTGTAATGCTCGTTAGAAAATGCAAAAAAAAACCCCAAAAAAACAACATAGAAACCAGGCGGGTCCGGTTGAGCATACTTCAGGCAATATAAGGCTTTTGTAGAGAGACAAGCACTAAGTTGGTGCAGATCTGCTTGAAGGTTCAGAGAGTCTAATTGAGGAGAGGTTATAGGACTATAAATAAGGGTGTCATCAGCAAAAATAGCATGCAGTTTTACATTTAAGCGAAGTAATGTCATTAATAAAAAAGTTAAACAGTATGGGACCAAGTACACTGCCTTGCGGTACCCCATTGGTTACCTCCACCCAGTTAGATGAGGATCCCTCAAAATTGAATTTTCTGAAAACGTTTAGTCAAAAATGACCAGATATCCCCAGAGATGTTAAATTGCTGGGAAAGCTTATTTAGGAGAATATCATGAGGCATCTGGTCAAAGGCCTTTGAAATATCTGAAAAAATGTAAAATCTGCAAACACATTAAAACACTTCAAAACCACTGCTTAAACTGACCTCTATTGAAAACTCAATGATCCACATAAACTAAAACCTAAGAAATTTGTAAATAATCAGAGAAGAAATGTTTATTTTATTTATACGAAGTGTGATATTTTCTGTTCATTTCATTGTTAGTGTTGCATTTGCTGTCCTTGAAGAGAGGCGACAGGGACGGACACTCTGGGACGTTTCTGTCGCCCCTTGGCCATTTTATTTACCGGTATCAGTTTTTTTCATTTCTTTTCCATGTCTGTTTATAAGTTTAAGTCAAATAAATGTTAAATGAAGAAAATAAATAAATAAATATTTGATATAGTTTTTTTTTTAATGGCTCTGTTAAATTGAGCGGTTCAAATACATAAACATTATTTCAAGATAAAATAATAAAACAATATTTATTTTGAATAATGTTAATATTTTGTTACATGCTCTTTTATCAGACAGGCGATAAAACTGGATTATATCCTCATGATACGTGTCCTCCAACAACGATACTTCTCTCATTTGGGCCTAAATAACTGTCATTCTTCAAAATTATAGACTATACATA